CGTGGCTACTAGAACCTGTAGTCCCCGCACAAGCATGGCTGTTTAAATTCGTTCACAAAAGTCATACTAATGAAGCAAAATGAACACGCTGCGTGCCTCGCACCAAACAGATCAGAAGAATTATACTGTTACTGATTGAACTTCGGAAAAATGTAGCCATTTCATCCATGAAATTTTACCTTGTGAACCGCTGCTCCCTTCAAACTTCTCGTCTGATGACTGTTGCGCTAATTTATCCTTGCCAGAAACCGGCTAAAATTTCAAGAAGTTTTTGCCAAGGAAATGAAAGTGCATAACTACTTTTTTCTGCTTTTCTGGCGTTGAACTAACTTGATATAGCTTTAGAAAAAGAAAATTAGTACAGAAGCTCAAGAAAATGTTCTCAGTAGCAGCCAACTAAAATATCTTGGGTATTTATCTCCGGCAAGCATTATAGCAGTATGGATCCATCCTGAATTCTAGCTCGTTGGCACCAAACAGGTGAAAGCGCACTATAAAAAGAACAAATAAATTCAATGCAACTAAGGAGGAAACTTCAAATATCTAGGAGTTGACGCCAAAAATCAGCTACTGCATCGCAGTTTCCAAAGCAAGCCAAAAAGATGCTACTTCTGCATTATTTTCGGGTAAGCATAAATGCCCTGAATCTAATAAGATCAGGAGGAAATTGCCAATAAATGGCCAGCGCATCGACCGCGATGCGAAGGTGCGTTTTTGCACAGGTTTTTGTCGCAAACGGCATTGGGGTTTTTTTTTGCAGATGCTTCCAGTTAAAACAATTGAGGCTGGCAGTCACGACTGTCAGGAAACACCCCCTTAAAATTTTAGCTTTCTAGCTTTCTCGGTCCCACAGTTAGCAATCTACCCGCAAAAATTTTTACTGGCCCGCACGTCAGAACCACGCATAACTGGGAGCAGAGCATGAAGTTCTACCTGGACGGGGAATATCCCCTTAAAATTCCAGCCTTCTAGTTTTTTAGATTCCCGAGTTGGCAAACTCACCCGCAAAAAATTTCACGGGCCCGTACGTGGGAACCACGCATACTCGAGACTGGGTTTGAGTTCATTAAAACCTACGTTGACGGGGAACATCCCCTTAAAATCACAGCTTTCTAATTTTTCAGTTTCTCCAGTTAGCAAGTTACTCGTAAAAATACTTTTACGGGCCCATTCGTGGGAATCACGCAAATCCAAGGGCTGAGCTTGAACATAAGACCTATATGAATGGGGAAAATCCCCTTAAAATTTCAGCTTTCTAGCTTTTCTGGTTCCCGAGTTAACATCTTACCCACCAAAAACTTTGGCGAATCCGTACGGGGAAACCGCGTGGGTAAGACAGCCCATTTTGGGGACTGGTGAGGCCCGTACATGCATACAGATCAAGTTCTCAAAGTTTCAGCCCTGCAGCTTTTGTAAGTCTCTAGATGAAAAATAGGTAAAGACGCACAAACAGATACACACACATACATATACAAACACACACAGAAAACCCCCCGACGATATGCGTTTTGGCATTGCATAGATGCAAAAAACGTATAAAACGACTATCAGCTGCGGTCTCAGAAAACTTTCTTTTACGTCTGGTAAGTGATAAGCGTACGAAAATTGCAGTAGTTCTAAAGTACCGGAGTTTCAATTCGACGCGAGCGATGTGCTACTAAAGCAATGCCGGAAGGAAGAGCTAAGCCAGTCATGTGACAAGAATGAAGTAACAGATGGATGAAGCAGATTGCTGAAGTAATACTCATGTAAAGTCATATACAGGCAATGGAAAGATGCTCAGTGTGGTGGGAAAGTTCGTTTTAAAGTCTCTATGGAGTTTGTTTGGTTTAACAGGTTCAGTAGAGAGAACATGCAAGCTGACAACTATTCCAACAGCCAGAAAAACATGACAATAAGACAGTCGCTGACAAAGTAGGAAAATAAAAGATGGAAAGGATTGCAACATATTCTTCCGGTTATGTCGCAACATTTCGACAACTCATGCCCAGCCGAGTACCAGGACAAAGTTTGTGCAGTAAATTTGTTTCTAGTTGCCAATCCTCACGGCATGTTCGGAACTGTAGGTTGATGATGGAAGCACGATGTTTTATAGAGATTCGTTAAAACAATTAGCCGAAATAAAGAAAAAAAGGACCTTCATTCGAGCATTCTTTCGGGTGAAAGGATCATCTTGACTGGACGTTTCAATCTGTATTTGTCCACTGAGGACTGCATCCTTAATTGCCTGTCTGTTGCGCTGATTTATCCAGTTAATGGCACGGACACTCTGCGAACGTCTACGATCCTGAAGTATTATTCACATTTCAACTAGATTACTTGTTATTCAAATCCACTGCTACGTGCGACTTTCCAAAACAATTCACTGACCAAACAACAGCGGCTTTATCAAAAGCAACAGTCGCTCGTGAAAAGATACAGATCGTTCCTGTTACTGGACGTGCCCAAACAGTAAGCTAAAAACGGTCTGCGTTTAATGTGTTAAGGCTCTCCAGCGAAACGATGAAGCAACCCACTGAAAATTTTATCAGGCTTCGACAAGGATATCCCAGCGTTTTGCTAAAAGTAAAAGTCCATAAACAAAAAGGCCGATCAAAAGAAAACGACTACTTCCAACTGAAAATGGGAATTAAGAGGAGATTTCACACAGCACATTAAGTCGCTGGCTTAAGTGAGAATACAAATCTGAATGAAATTTCAATGCCATTTTAGTCATATAAGTTATACGGCGATTTGCGACGAGTGAAACTGACAAATATCATTCGCCAAAACCACTTCCTGCCCAAGACCAATCTGACTATGCCAACAGTTCCATGTTTTTCGCTGTGCCAAGCAAAATCGTTTTACCATTTCAGTAGGTGAAGATGTGCTCGATCCCTAGTCATCGTGTTAGGAAAAACAAGAAAAGCAAAAAATTTCGCAGATTCATGAACTGAGCTTCCTCGTCCCACTCTGATTTCGAAGTTTGCTGACAACTATATCAACACTTCTATACACTTTTGTCAAAAAAATCGTTCATCTACGCTTTGACACCCTAGAGACGCATCCCAGGTGCTACATAAATGCGAAAGCATGTGGGAGATGAAAGTCCCTTGGACTGTCAAAAGTGAGATGAAAGTTTTAGTGGCAGTCCTTACCTTATCAAAAAATGCACTCAAAATTCTATCAGTTTTTTGCATGAAATCTAAACCGCTTCTTCAAAACTTGTTTTTTTTTAACAATATACGTATAATAAAAATATGGGGATGAAGAGATAAGGATAGCTACTTGTTATAGCGGTATAATACGACGGTATTAACTTCCTTTACAGACTGCTCCCTCATTCCCTTTTCCCAGGTGCTCTTTACAACATCAGAATCCAACTGTCTATGTTGCATGATCAAGGAGTACAGATTAAAGTTACCAGTTCCGTTGCTCGCGATTCCAAGTCATCGATCTGCTGCTGTAACTTTTTCACATTTTCAACATCGCCGTACTGTTCTGCTTCTTGCTATAAAAGGATGCGTACTTATAAAACACAGAAAGACGAAAAAGTGTCTCATTCCAGAACGATACCCCGATCAGCTGTTCCTACTACAATGCTTTATTCCAGTTAGCCACTAACTGCAGAAAAAAAAAAAAAAACTCCTTGCCCCCACCAGTTACCGGTCGAAAATATCACACCCAAACAGACAAAGCCCGGTACGACCGAAGAACGCATCTATTTTATCAGCCACAACAGAACCAAAAAAAAACTGTCTCATTTCTCAAAATAACTCTGCTGCCAAAATCACTGAATACTACCGATTTCGGATGATTGCATCACATCGTTACGCTGAAACATTTGCATCAAACACTTACTTTCATTTCTAGAGAAGTATACGGCTTTTGCCTTGTAGAGAACGTCAAAGTACCCAAAGCTCAAAAACAGTACAAAAGTGTCGCCAAAGCGTCCACACAAACCATCGAAGAGACGATGTGCAGTGCAAGCAGAGCGGAAGAGGCAGGTGAGGGAGAGCGATGCGAAGACAGCTGGGCTCGCATTGTGGCGTCAAGCATCTCAATGCGTTTTTAAACGAAACTGCTGATTGCTACAACTGCCAGTGGGCGAAAGCCAAGTTAACAATGATTTTTCCCAGAAATTTCTACACTTCAGAGTTCAGTGCTGAATCGCTTCAGCTTATGCCTCACAAAACCAGCCGTGAGAGTCCACCCATATGCTGAGTGCCAAATGCTAATGTCCAAAGAGAAGTCTCTCCTTGATTTAACTCAATTTCCAAATCCAGGTTAGCCAAAACAGAACCTTAATATCTTCAAATTAGCTGTTTTATATATATATACATATATATATATATAGGTGTATGTATTGTGTGTGTTTGTATGTGTATAGCGACGAAAAAGAACGAAGCACGGAGAAAAACATTAAAAAAAGTACAAATGGCAGAAAACGCATAATCCGTGGAATATAGAATTTCCACGAACTTAAACTTCAAATGCGAAAAAATGGGCCCGAAGATTCAACTGAACACAGATTGTTTTTAAGCGCTCAGCAACATTTTTTTTTTATTTTCCTCCCACTTTCCTCAAAAGTGCTGGGCAGTCCCTTACTCCCAAACAGTACAAGTGCAAATCGGTCGTATTCCTTCACAATGCGCACTTTTCGTCGTGCTGTATTTTTATGTGTTCCTCTTGCCGTCCCTAGCCAATGGAATTTTACAACATTTGTTCAGTTTCGTTTCATCGCCAGCATCCTATAACAATGAATTCCCGATGACTTTTTCAACGATCTGCGCTGCCTCGCCATTCCCATCCTCTTATCAATCCAAATCAACACCAGCATCAGATATGCAAACTCGATAAGCAGGCCAGTGGATCATCGGCTAACCACCGTAAGCTCACAACGGTTAGAACGTGGCAAATAACAGTTACGAGCCGCTGCCAATATTACTGTAAGTGATTACTCCGAAACAGCGATGTTACTGGAAGAGCACGACACCTCCCCAGCCGATGACTGCTAGGCTCTTCATATGTGTAGAAGTGAGCTGACCAAGAATGCACATACAAACTGTCCATTGCAGTTCACACAGAAAAAGAATAAAGTGCTCCCCGGTATATTCTTGGCTGAGAGGCAAAGTGCTGCGGGTCATCCCTGTCAGTGACCCAGCGTTATTCACTGACAGTTATCTAACACTACCGTCTCTTTTCATCAAGAAACAATTTCATTAACAATGACAGCTACGTTATCCTATTCTCATGCGGCCGACAAAACAAATGCCCTCCACGGATCGAAATATTTTCGGCAAACCTAATCGTCGACCTAGCGAATGCAAAAGATGCCGTGTGAGGCACTTTCACAGACCAGAAACAGACAATGAGCGAAAAGGTAACCAGTGAACAATAGTAGTGGTATCATAATTCAAAACAGGATCGGCCCTTCTTCATTCACCTATAATTTTCGGAACATTTCTTTTCCCCGCCGGACAATTCTGGTATGAGCCGACAACTGGCAATAATACGACCCAAATGTACTAACTAGGCCAGTTTCATTTGCCGCAACCTTCCTTCAGATCTAAATTTGTAAAAGTGCGGAAATGTATCTTAGCGCAAATGCCTGGATCCGACAAGCCGTGTTTGTTCATTGTATCAAATTGTGCGTGTGTGTCAGTAAATTGACTGTTCGATCAGATTAGAGCGTACCCGGTTAACACACCCTCCGGTCTGTATCACTTCCGTTAAGTAAATGTCGCTGTAGCGGTCGGGAAGGGGAGGGCGAGAGGAGGAGGCGGAAGAAGTCGATGAGCAAAGCAACGGGTTCACTGAGCTGATCCGCTGCACACATGCATCGTTATCTGTATGACGTTTCAAGGTCATTTTATTTGATTTGTGCCAAAATCCGATCGCCATTTATTCGAGTCACCACCACTATCCTTATCACTACCGCTAGTATCACAGTATCACTGACACTTTTTTAACTACTAGGGCAAAAACCGTCACTGCTATTCCCAGTACTTTCGTCAAACTTTTCTATTTCCCCATAAACCGTGTGCACGTCAGCAATCTAATCGCCATAATAACAATAACGGCGACACAGAACAGCTAAAAATAAGGCTTAAAATAATTAGCGCTAAGTAGTCACTACTTCTCACCCAGATCAGTCCACTAAGGCAATCATTATCGCTTCCATCTATTACTCCCACCTACGAGGTAACGCGCAAACAATAACAGATGTGCCGCCATTAGCCTACTGCTAATACTATGATATCATTATTAGCTACTATGACAGTAATAAATAACAATAATAACAGATATAATAACGGTAACAATAGTAATACATAAATAATAATGCAGCAATAACAAATAATTTGCACTTTCGTAGATTTAATCTTTAAAGCAAACGAAGGAACTCATCTGATTTACCAACCACTGGCCGACAATGCCGCCAATCACCGCCCCCTTTCGAGGTCTGTTTTCAAAGCAAACTGAAGGCCTACTGAGTTCTCAGTAGCGTGTCAAGTAAACCTGTGCTAATTTACCATCAAAGGAAATTGTAACGGTTTCGACATTTCCAATGACAGCTTTGAAATGCGAACATTCAGCACACATCAGACAACTTCAAGGATAGCCAGGCATCCCACGGATTTTGAGCAAATTTGCTACACTTGCTGTTGTTGCCAGTGTTTATTACTGCTGTTATTATCACTGCTATTACTGTAATCATTATCATTACTACTACTATTATTATCACCACTATTATTATTAATAACAATATCGTTGCTGGTGTAGTTGTCATCGTCATAATTACAATTATTGTTGTTACTATTACTATTATTACTGTTACTCTTGCTCACACTACTGAAATTCACCACTCATCATCTGCCCATTATACGCCATGCCAGTGAAACCATTCACCCAGTTTCCCACTGTTTATTATTACCTCCTTTCTCCCATTCACAGACAATTCTGTTTCGTTCGTCGACCTTGTCTCTACGCACATTCTGTTTCAACGTGGATCTTCCTATGCAAGATGCTGTTTTTTTTTTCTTTTTTTTGAGGAAAAACAAAAAGCGTCATTCCTGAATGAACGCAATCCGGATAAATCCAGCTACCAGCCTGGACTCAATATTCGCGTCTCCTGCAGCAATTACGCCTCTGGGCTTGAGGCAGTAAAATACTCAGCACTGCACGGGTGCAGTTAGACTCGTCTTGTCCCGTCCGATTTACTGCTTCGCATGACACAGTCAAGTATACGCTGCAAATCTTTTCCTGTCGGTCCACCATCACTGCCTCGCCTGGACTTAGCAATTTTTTAAAAAATCGCACTGACAACTCACTGTATTCATCGATCTCCCTGTGTACCCTATTGTGCTTATTCCCCTGAGCCGTTCTGCACCAAATTTTGAGACACTGACTGCGACGTATTCGAGAATAATGCCATTTCAAATATTTCTTGCAGTCATTGCAGTCGTATATCTACATTTTTAAAGCTGTTTATGAAATATGATTCGAGCCACCGGGATCGCTTTAGTATGTCCAATTGATTCATGTTGATTTATGAAAAGCATTCTACTGCATGGGTCATTTTTCGCTCCAGTCTGCTTCGCCAAGGATAGTTCGGCCATTACACACGGCAATGTATAATGAGCATGGTCACCCTTAGTCTGCACCGCGCTTCATTAATAAAGTCTTCCTCCTGCATTTGCGGGAGCACTGACTAAAGGGAGTGAGCAGCCCTCTCCCTTTTTCAGATCAAAACGTACAAATTTGAAGTATATCGATAGCTGAAGCTCACCCTTCTCAGTCTTCGATCCAACAAAAAGCAGAAAGTCAATAAAACGAGACACTGGAAACCAGTTCTTCACTACTGTGTTAAAAAAATTATACAAACTACTACTAATCGACCAGTTTGTGAGGTCCATTCAGCCCCCCCCCCCC